TTCTAAGAAACTAGACCAGAGGACATCAAGGTGGAATAAAAGAAACAGGTAGCTGTCAAAAAACAAATGACATATTTCTTACAACAGAAGCCAGGTAGAAGCAAGTACAACTCAGTGAATGCTAACTAGTCTGTATTACACATGTATGGCACAGGCCACGACTTGCTCACATAGCAGAGTCTAGGCAAAGTTCACTTCTTGGCAAAACAGAGATGAAAATTATTGAGGGGAAGAAATCTGGTGCACTGAACTGCGCTTGGAGGACAAATGCTACTGCTACCCACCCTGGCTGCCCATGTCAATTAATACGTGACACAGGGACAAAATAGTGACAGGAGAGCACAGCCATGAAGAAGGTATATCAGAATGCCATTTCATGATCTGCTGAGGCAAATCCCACAGTGCACTACAAAAAATGAAGAACTAACACTGCTCTATAGCCAGGGCCTCTATTTGTGTAAGTCAATCAGGACAGAAGCATCAGAAGAACAAGGTCGCATGCCTTCCTTTGAAGCCAGAAGCCAGGATGCTATCATCTCGGATCATTATGGCAAAGAGAAGAACACAGTGCATTAGACAGGAGGAGATATTTCCCTTTAGAAAGTTCAGCAACCTCATGATCCAGGTACTGTTCAGTCATTACTGTCTTTTGAATTTTTTTTTTAAAGCTGTTGTTCTTACTGGCTATAAAAAAAAAATAATTAAAAAAAAGAAAATCAGCAGACTTGATTCTCCACTGCCTTGCGCCACTTGTGCGAAATAAGGGGAAAGTAGGTAGAATGGGCTGTGGTTCCAGTGGGGCAGCCTTCTGCATCCAGTCTGCACTAAGAGTGCTCAAGTATAAATCACAGGATCTTAGAGCTGGAAGGGACCTCATCTAGTTCAGTTTCCTGCTCAGGGCAGGATCATCCCTGACTAAACCATCCCAGCCAAATGTCTGTCTAACCTGCTGTTGGCAACTTCCAAGGATGGAGATTCCACGACTTCTCTCACTGGTCTGTGCCAATGCTTGACCACCCTCCTCGTCCAAAAGTTCCTCCTAAACACCAGCCTAAACTTCCTCTGCTGCACTTTGAAGCCATTGCTGCTAGTCCTGTCCCCTACAGCCACCGAGAAAAATCTGTCTTCATCCTCTCTATAATCACACTTCAGGTATTTGAAGACTTATCACATCACCCTGCAGTCTTCCGTTCTCCAGACAAAATGGCAACACGGAATGTAAAAAGCAGCAAAACTCCAACCCAATGTTATTTCTTATAAAGAAAAATTACTCAATAACTTCTCTCTTATAGGTCTTGACTAATTAGATAGTGTGGCTTTGAATAAATAAGCCCTGCCTTGGTGAATCCAAAGCATAAATATCCTGTCCTTTACTATTTGGGACAAAACAGTTCAGTTAGCTGACAAGCTTTAAATTTAATCCCTGTGGAAGCCACACTGATATCCCAGAGTAGAATTTGGTCCACAGGGATCAATTTTCCTACTTCAGT